CTCCACGAGGACAATCTGTTCGTAGGATCGACAAGACTTGCTTTGAACTTGAGGAGAGCTTTCCTCTCTGCAGCAACACAACCAGAAGATGCATTTATGGCAACACATAAATTAATCCCAAACTCCAAAACAAGCATTAACATAAAAAGAAGAAGAGAAGAAGTAGATATCTTCTCCATTGCAACAATGAAACTCAAACAAGATTCAAATGGCTTTAATGAGATTTTAGGTCATATAGCTGTAGATGCATGATGAACCAAGATTCAAAGAGTACTTATAGAATGGCACCATGTATCCTGTATGTATTTATGTATGTATGTTTATATGTATGCACACATTTTATTTTAAGTTCTTTCACATCCAATTTTTCTAGCGAGGACTCAGTCAATACTGCAGAAAATTATTATGTCGATATTCTACATATCGCTTTCAATATTTATTTCAACGACTCATCCATATTGTTACGAGAAAACGAGAAAGAAAACAAATAAAGAACACAGAGATTTGCGTGGTTCAGTGACGGTGTGTCAACATTCACTGGGAGAACCGGAGATATTATATTATAACAATTCAGAGAGTTATAATCATAGTCATAAACCATAGCTAGCTATCTATTTCTAAGCACTCTCAAAACATCCTAAATCCAAAAGGAACTCTGCCAATTGAAACAGTCTTTTTGCTTTGGTTCCAGGTCAGATAGACAGCTAAGCTAAATAAGTCGAGTTTCAACAGTCTCCACCTTGACTTGGAGTTTCTCCGACAGCTAAAGGTTCCTCAGTATCTCAGTCGTCTCTTTCCTGCTGGATACCCTCAGGGGACTTTACCTCTTGCGAATATTCACCAAGTTCAAGCAGCACTCGAATAATTGGATGTGAAAGAACTTAAAATAAAATGTGTGCATACATATAAACATACATACACAGGATTGTAATAAAAAATCCGTCTTCCTCTGGAACATCGATACACCGAATTTTTAGCCAAATTCAAAGCACTCTGACTATAATAACACCAGTTTCTCCAACTTCAGACCCAAACTTACACCAGACCATGTAATCAGGTACCCTCCAATACCGTACGTTGTAAAGTTGTAAAGTAGACTTTTAACCGACTGCACATCTAAACAGAGTGAAGATAAAGCAAACAACTATCTTTGTTTTACCTAGTCACCCAGAGTCTGCATAGCCAACCAGACCATCACCGGCGTTTATCTCAAGCTTCTTTCAAATATGGCAACATCCACTTTATAGCTACCCAATGAAGCTTTACCCGAATTAGCCATAAACTTGCTCACGACACTACCGCCGAGATCCGGTGTCTTCGTATAGCTAACCTCTTCAATGAAAATATTTTTTTGACTAAGAGTAAACGCATGCATTGCCTTGCCCTAATAAAAATGTGGGTAGATAAATATTTACGACTCAAACTTTTAATATATTTTTCTCACTTTTAATATATTTTTCTCGTTTCTTTAATTGTAATTGAAATTTTTCATGAACAATAACAGTATTTTTATTGTTTTTAAAGTTATTATAGAATTTAGAAGATGAATATTTTTGAAAAAATATATATATAATCAATTAATAGGAACAAATAAAAAAGTGTTAAAAATATATGATTTGTTTAATTATATTTTCACATTTCATTTTTGCTATTTATTTATCATAACATACTCACTTGATTCATACAAAGTGTAACTAATTTTTATTTTTTATATATCCAAACACTAAATATTCATTCTATATATATAATTACTTCCCACGTCACTCAAAAATTATACTTATTTTTTATTAGTATTTCACAAATACAACTAATTAATTTTACTCATTTTCAATTAATTTGGTGTAATCTCTGGTCGCAGATGGAACATAGATGAGCCAATGACGGTCCACCGCGAACCTCCTCCATGCAAGAATCGACTTTGAAGGCTCTCTTTGCGGCGACTACCCCCCGATCAACTTCAAACTTGAAGACAACTGATGCACGAAATGCACGGAAAAACAGTCGCCCTGCTCAGGTAGCACAATGCACCTTTGCTTAAGACTGTCAAGGTATGATCGAATTCGATGCTTCTAGAGTCATGTCGTTTTCGGCTCCGGTGGAGAGTCATTTCGTTTTCCCTTCCGGTGGAAAGTCACGTCATTTTCGGCTCCGGTAGAGGGTCAATTGTTATTTTTATTTGCGTTTTCTTGCATTGTATTCAACTTTGTTATAAACCTAAGTTGGTTTCTGTTATGCTATATTATTTGGTCTTATCAATATATTAGATTATTTAAATTTGAATATGTTTTGTATTTCTAACAATAAGATATTTTGCCAAACAAAAATATAATATAAAAAAAATAAGTATTTTATTTAATATTTTAAGAAAAAAAAGTTTATGAATAGTAGAAAACAAATCAAATTGCTCAAACAAAAATTCTCTCATTTAATTATACACAAAATGAGATATGAGGGCAAATTTCTTCTTGATGTGAGTAGACAAGCAAACACACTTGCTTTTACCTCTACCTTTGCCTTTGCCTTTGCTTTGTCAGTCAAGTCTTTCATTTTGTCAATTGATGGAAACAACTTAAAAGAATTCCATGCGCAGATAAAGTGATGACTGAGGTAACCATTAAACACCACAAGCATTCATTCATTAATTGATACCCACCACAATCAAACCATTCATTCATAGACCCACACAACAAGAGTATGCAAAAATTAATAAAATAAATAAATAAAATAAAGTATGTTAGAACTTATTCTTATCTTACTGTCTCAATATCCAAGGGTCCCATTTTTTTTTTTTTTTAAAAGATCTTTAAATATTAATTATTATATAAAAACGTAGTAGAAATTAAAGAAAAATGACAAGAATATTTTATTAGTGTCTTATAATATTTATGCAAAAAATTATATTGTACTAAAAAATATGGTCCTTTAGAGCTGATCCAAGATTTTTGGAGATATTTTTAAAATATCTTTTAAGATAAAAAATAAAAAATAAAAATATATGTATAAAATGAAAATAGTGTCGTGTTTGTTCGTGTAATAACTCCAAAATTCTTCGTCAAAAATAAAAAAATCTCTTTAACATGTGAGTGTCCGGGTCGAACTCAGGGAATATGCGAATATCCTATATTTAATTAGAAAAAGTGCAATGAGTTAATGCAATCGAAGAAGTTGAAAACATAAATTGCAAAAATTAAATCTAACTAAAAAGCAATCAAATATACGTATTTCGAAAAGAATGAAGTGAGGCATTTGTGTCTGACTTTTGCGTTCCTTGATGGCTAGATTTCCATGGATGAAATGAGCGGGATGACGATAGCGTGATAGCGAAAAATATATGTATAATTGCGGAGCGGCACGGAGAAATGAGTGTGATCGCGTTTGCTCGTTTAAGCCGATTCTCGACTCGGTTGGTACTTGACCTTAGGGGATTTACAACGAGGCTTCAGCGACACCCGGCGAAGAACATTATAAGCAAAAAACTTTACTGTCACTAGATATTTCTGTGACCCAATAAACCACCGGCTATGCCCCATGAATATTCTTCCAACTGTTCCGCTAGTGGTTCTACCCCTCTGATACCTCTCTTTAATCGGAATCGAATTCAAAACAACAACTAAGCAGGTCAACAAGGCTCCCGCGTACTTAGCTACGTTGAACTACCCGGAATCTGCTTTTGGCACGAAACATGGTTGAAATAGTCGATTCTTCTACCGCCCTTCCGCAACCTTGTCGAAATCCAACTTGAACAATTCAAATCGAACATGGAATTTTTGGGTGAAAGTGACGCGGAGAAATATGATAGGATTTTACTATCTAAATTGCAGGAATTAAAAGAAAAAAAAGGGATAAAATCAGTTTGCTCGAGACACAAAATCGAAGATCTTGTATTATTAAACTATATAAAAATACTGAAGAAAAAAAATGGAGAAAATGGAATATACTGAATGTATACTATTGTGAATATATGGTATGTATATATATATATATGGTACAATTAGAGAGGATATTTAGAGGAGAAAAAGCTTCTGGAAGCTTGGCGGTTACAACGGCCAATAAATAACTACTTCTAAAAATAACTACTAATTACCTCTAAAAATAACCATAAATAACTAACTCTAAAAATGCCTACTAATATAACTACTAATAACTACTTATTTTCTAGAAAGTTCTAGAATAAAAATTACAGAAAAAAGCAAAAAATTTGCTAAAAAGTAGTGCAGGAATTTAATATAAGAGCTGGGAGAGTGCAGAAATAAATGCAGGGCTGGAATAAAGGCAGGAGTTGGGGGTGTAAATACAGACAATGATTGCAGCGAGAATTAATGCAGTCGCTGCTCATGGTGTCCGCGCAGCCGTCGCTTGTCTTCCGCGCTCATAAATACAGCCGCCGCTCGCTTTCCGCGCTCGCTTGCCTTCTGCGCTAGCCGTCGCTTGCCTTCCGCGCTCATAAATACAGCCGCCGCTCGCTTTCCGCGCTTGCTTGCCTTCCGCGCTTGCTTGCCTTCCGCGTCAGCTGTCGCTTGTGTTCCGCGCCAGCTGTTGCCTTCCGCGCGGCCGTAGCTTGTCTACCGCGCTTGGTTGACTTTGACTCTCGCGTGTTGACTTTCTGACGTTGATGGTTGACTTTTGTTGACTTTCAATTTTTTTTGTTTTTTTTTTTTTCGCTTCTGAAGCCATTTTTCACTTTTAAGGCCAATTTTGGACTTTCATATGCATTATTTCACCTGTATAAATGAACATTTTATAAATATTTATTTAAATAAATAATACTTATTAAATAAAATTAATTTAGTTAAAATTAAATACACATAAATAATGCCAAAAAAATATAATTTAAGGAACACATCAATTAATTTAATTTATACACCAAAATAATTATAAATTACACTTAAAAACTAATAATTTAATATTATACAAACAACATGAGTTCATGAATACAATTATTAGAATAAATTAATATAAATAATATCAAAAACATAAACAAATAATTAAATAAAGAAATATAAGGTATAAAATATGACAAAATCAAGAATTATCTCAAGGTTGTACAATGTTAATAAAAACAATCAAACTGACTTGCTAAACGTAGATTTAAATAAAGACTATTAATCCATCAAGAATTATACAAAAACACAAATCTAAAGAATCCTAAGGAAATCTCCTCAACATAGAGATAGCCCCAACCATAAATAATCATTTAGACGTAACAACAAATTGCTCTGTCGCTCAGTAAATGGATCGAACTGCATCACTCTTGCCAAGATGTTCGATCCTTTGGAAGCTCATTGCCACTTCCGTTTCCGCCGCCAAACTGAGAAAGTTTTTATCATTGACCGCATTTTCAAGTGTCTCTCGGCTTCTCTTCTTCACAATTTTCGTAGGGTAAAAAGGAATGCTTGTTGCAGTGAAAATACTTGCATACTTCACTAGTGATTGATTGTACATAAAACTTCAGTTCAAGACAAATATACAACTTTCATCTATTACAAACAAGCCAATGTTTGTCTCGAGTACTTGTAACTAAAAGCCACGCCTGACAGCAGAATTAAAACATCAGCGACAACTTTTATTGAACAAAACACCAACTGAAAACTACGTAAATTAAAAACATTATTATATATGTATATTATATATCACTTACCTGAAATTCTCCGACGGAGTAATGCCGTGGCAAGCAGAATCTTGTTCCCCAGCTCATCTGTAAAGCCAAAGTAAGCTTGTCTGAAGCTCCTTTTGAATACCAACAATCCAACGAAGCCCCAAAATCCAGTGCCGAATCCTCCCACCACAAATGCACAGAACCATATTTTATCCATTGAGTCTCCATCTTGTTCAACATGATTTTTGACATTTGAAGCATTCGGCGAATTTTCTCCCGGACATCTCTTTTGCAGAGGAGCTCCACAGAGTTGAGGATTGCCATCATAACTTGCATGGTCTCCGAGAGTTTGCAGTTGCTTTCCTGTGGGAATCTGTCCGGATAAATTATTGTTGGATACGTTCAAGTGGCTCAGAAAATAGAGATTTGATAGACTATTTGGGATTCTTCCAAACAAATTGTTGCTCGAAAGATCAAGAGATTCCAAAGCCGTCATATCTCCAATCTTTGCTGGAATTTCTCCATCCAATGAATTATGTGACAAATTGAGGCCATACAAGTTGCGAAGGTTCATCATCTCTAAAGGAATTTTCCCGGAAAGATTATTGCATGAAAGATCCAAATTAACAAGATATCCTATATTCCTAGAGTACTCCATCACTGATCCTTTGAACACTTGATATAAGCTATGAAAATACATGGTTAGAAGTGGATACTTAATTTCAATCATGCCTGAGAGATTTCCAAAGCAGTGCGGGATGTATCCGCTCAACTTGTTATTCCCGAGGTCTAGCACTTGAAGTTGAGAAGCTTCACAGAGTGCCCGAGGAATTTCCCCATGAAATTGATTATTCCTCAACTTAAGAATAAACAATGAAAGTTGCATATTTCCGATCCATGCAGGTATTTTACCGGACAACATATTTTCTCCAACGTCTAAAGCTTCTAAATAAGTACAGTTTTGTAAAGTGGAGGGAATCGGTCCTGAAAGCATGTTGTTGTTCAACAAAAGCCATTGCAATCCGCCAGCACCTCCAATGGATTTAGGAATGGTGCCTGAAAGCTCATTGGATGACAATGACAAAAACTTTAAGCCTTGAAACTTTTGCCAACATTCCGACATATTACCAGATAAATTATTATTGGAGAGATCTATAACCTGCAAAGATCTCATATTGCACAATGAATCAGGCAGTGAGCCATTAATAGAGTTTCGGCTCATTAATAAAGTGTTTAGAAGAGGTAACATGTAACCAATGTCGCTCGGTAGAGTTCCTGAAATGCCGCAATTGGATAAATTAAGGTAAACTAGTGTCTTCTGGGATTGAAGCCATGATGGAAACTGACCTCCAATATCGGAAGATCCCATGAAAAGAAAATTTAATTGAAAAGAGGGCACCCAGCCATGTCCAAACTTAAAATTGATCGAGTTGGAGGATACATCAAAGTATTTTAATTTTGAGAGCTTGTCGAAGTGGACCTCAGAAATCGTTCCATTGAACAAGTTGTCTGAAATGCCCAGCCTCTCCAAATTTGATAGTTGCCCCAAAAATATTGGAATTTCACCACTTAATTGATTAGAAGAGAGACTCAACCATCTCAATGCTTTCAACTTTCTAAAGGATGATGGAATGAGACCCACTAACTTGTTAAAAGAGATATCCAACACTTCCAAACCCGACAAGTTTCCAAGAGATTCAGGAATTTGACCACTTAATTGATTAGAAGAGAGACGCAACCATCTCAATGCTTTCAACTTTCTAAAGGATGATGGAATGAGACCCACTAACTTGTTAAAAGAGATATCCAACTCTTCCAAACCCGACAAGTTTCCAAGAGATTCAGGAATTTCACCACTTAATTGATTAGAAAAGAGACTCAACCATCTCAATGCTTTCAACTTTCTAAAGGATGATGGAATGAGACCCACTAACTTGTTAAAAGAGATATCCAACTCTTCCAAACCCGACAAGTTTCCAAGAGATTCAGGAATTTCACCACTTATATTGGAAAAAGAAAAACGAAGAAATGTTAATCGTTTGACTTTGTCCAAATCATTCGGTAAACCACCTTTGAAGTTGTTTCCTGACAATTCTAGGCTCTTCAAATTTTGACTCCAACACCCAGAAATATTGTTGAAAACTGATGAGATCTCCCCATGAAAGTGATTATAAGACAGAGACAATGATTCCAAGCGGCAATTATCACCTAAGAGTTGGGAGATCCAATCTGACTCATATTCAAATTGGTTCCAACCAAGGTTGAGATGAACAAGGTTTCTTAATTTTAAAAATTGCAAGTGTGAAGTGTTGTATACATTGTTTGAAAGACCAAGAATCCTCAGAGAAGTCATATTCGAGATAAAGCAAGGAACTTCTCCGTGAAATCTGTTCGAACTAAGATCCAAGCGATAGACATGTGAAAGAAATGAAGAATTTAAACAAGAATGGGATAAGTGATTGTTAAGTGAACTCCGTGACAAGCGCAGCACAGACAAAGAAGGTAGCACGTTGAGTACCTTAACTAAATCATTAGTTTGGGAAAGGTTAACCCAACTCAAATCAAGATATTCCAACGATGAAAAGTTGGAAACCCATCCGATATCATTGGATATAAGGCCATCATTATAGTTGAGATCAAGCCTACGCAACTTTGACAGATTGCCAAGATGGTCTGGGACAACACCATCAAGAGAACACCCAGAGAGGTTAAGATACTGCAACTCAGTCATTGATCCTAAAAATTCAGGAATTCTACTTCCTTGAAACTTATTCTGACTCAAGTCCAAATAATTGAGATACTTCAATTCCCTTAAAGAAGGATCAAGACTTTTACCCACTAACCTGTCATCGAAAATAGCCTTATTCGTGTAATCGTCGAAACTAACATTGCCCCTGAGATCAAGTTTGATAACATGCCCGGTAACCTGGTCGCAAGTGACACCTTCCCACGTGCAACAGTTCAGGTCCCTCCACGAGGACAATCTGTTCGTAGGATCGACAAGACTTGCTTTGAACTTGAGGAGAGCTTTCCTCTCTGCAGCAACACAACCAGAAGATGCATTTATGGCGACACACAAATTAATCTCCAACTCCAAAACAAACATTAACATAAGAAGAAGAAGAAGACGTGAAGCAGATATCTTCTCCATTGCAACACAGAAACTCAAACAAGATTCAAATGGTTTTAATGAGATTTTAGACCATATAGCTGTAGATGCATGATGAACAAAGATTCAAAGACTACTTATAGAGTGGCACCATGTACCATGTATCTCTGTATGTATGCACGTATTTTCTTCAAATTCTTTCACATCCAATTTTTTCCATAAGGACTCATTCAATACTGGAGAAATTATATTCTTTTGTCGATATTATACATATCTTTATCAATAGTTATTTGCACAATGACTCATCCAAGTCTTTCCACAAGGACTCATCCATTTTTATCAAAATTCTCTTCTTACAAAATATCGTTTTGTAATTAAAATATTACATTCAATAGTTATTTTAAATTTATTTAAAATATCAAACAAAAAAAAAGTTATATCCAAAATTGTAGTGCCTATTGTTTTTTTTAAATTATTTCTTTATAATTCTTTTCCTAACCCTTAAATAACATTTTTAACATCTAACTTGTAATTCAAATATTTTTTTTATATTCTAAATAATATAAATATTTTCATGGACATATATCTAAACAAAGCCTAAAAGTCTGGCATTTCTACTACATGAACCATCAAACACGAAGAAAAAAAGAAAAAGATTAATTATTAATAACTAATTAAATCCTAAATATTTAACTTTTTTACTATGTGAAGTCATGAACCATCAAGTATTGATTAATAGCTAATAAGTAACTATTACCACTGTATCGATGATCCAGTGGTGTATTAACATGTTTATAATATTGGTTAATCGAAATCAAATTGATTAGTTAAAGTAATTCTCAAATTCTCTGCTTGAATAATAATAATACCATTGAACTATACAAAATCACTTAACTGTCAATTAACATTTGATATGAAATTCAAATAAAGATTATTTACATAAGACATTAAATTACTTGAAATGAAATAGGCATATGCATGATATTTCCACAAGGTAAAGACAATTTTCATTTGTACATGATATGAAAATGATGGGTCAATGAAAATTTCTTTTTTGACTTAGAGTAAACGCATGCATTGCCTTGTGGATACGGCACATTCGAAATTTCCACGATCATTATTGTTGTTGTTATTATTATACTTTTGTCCTACATAATTTATTCATTCTTTATATTTTTGTTTATCCCAAATAATTTGTCTTTTCTTTTTTTTTAAAAATATAATTATAAACTTTAATTATATTTTAAATTTTATAATTTATGGAGTAATTTTTTTTAAGTAACTATTTAATCTTTTTAATCTTAATTTATAATTATTTTTATTAAATCATAATTATTTTTACTAATTCATTTTTAAATTATTTACTAATTACATAATATATAAAAGTAAGTGCCCAGCTAAAAGTGGACAAATTAGCTGGAACGGATGTAGTATTATTCAACAACAAAATATATATATATACCCTAATAATAACGAAGTGTGGGTAGATAAATATTTCGGACTCATCTTTTAAATTATAAAAATAATGTTAAATAATACTTTCTGCCTCAACTTCTAAGTTCACATTTACCGTCATTATATTTAACATTAAAAATATTTTTATATTTGTATAAATTTTTTTTTACAAATATTCTTTTATTAGTATTATATTAGTATTATAAGACACTAATGAAATTATTTTTGCAAGTTTTTCTTAATTTGTATTACGTTTTAATATAATAATTAATATTTAAAAATTAATATGCAAAACATAAATAAAACTCTTAGAACTCGACCGACTAACGTAGTATAACAATGAAAACACATGAATGATATACATAATACCAACAAGCATGTAGTATATTCGGATAGCATATGGTAATTATGTTACCATAATACCAAAAATATTATTGATCTAATGTTTTGTGGAAAAATAATAATAATAATAATAATAATAATAAAAGATTAATATTTAATTTTATCTTTTAAAAAAAATATATATTTGATGTAGAAATAAATCGTGACTAATTATTGATTATTTTATTTATTTATTGGAATAAAAGCAGAATTTAAAAAATAATAAAAATAATAATTTCGAGAGAGACACACGTGTCGGAAGAACGGACGAGGGTGTAAAATTCTACTGGTGTTCCCTACCGTACGCTGTGATTGCTCCACAGTCGCTTTCTCCACTGTCGGGTTTCCCTTTTGGCCCGACGGTTCGCAATTCTGCTTCTGCTCTCGAATTTTCCATAAACCCTAAAAACTCAAATCCTTCGAGGGGATTTGGTTTTCATCTTTGGATAAGGAATAATCAGTGAAAGAATCGAAGAAGAAGAGAAATGGACGTGGAAACCCGTAACAAAATCGAAGACACAGTTTTGGAAATCCTGAAGAACGCAAATATGGACGAAGCGACGGAGTTTAAGATCCGGAAGTCGGCGTCCGAGAAGCTGGGGATGGACCTTTCGGAACCGAGTCGGAAGAAGTTTGTGAAGCAGGTTGTCGAGTCGTATCTCGCGGCAAAGCAGAATGAAGCCGAGGAGGATCAGAAAGCAGAAGAGGAAGTGGGGGAGGAGGAGGAGGAGGAGGAAGAGGAGGATGACAATAGGAAAGGAGACGGAAAAGAGTATGACGACGAAGGTGGCCTCATTATTTGCCGCGTGAGTTCGTAATGCCTTTTATTTTGAAATATCTTTGTTACTTTTGCAGTTTGTTTTAGGAGTAACTGTTCGTTTGATCACTCGTTATGAATTCCTTGGATGCTGATGTTCAATTGAGTGAAATTTTTTTCTGTTAAATAATAATTTGTAGGGATAATGATATTTGATTGGTTGGTTGGTTCATAATTTTATGTATTCTGAGCACAATCCATGGCACAATTATCAGGTTCTGTTTAAGTTCGAGTTTTTGCATACTAAAAATGTAGAGGTCTATCACATTCGAAGAATTTAATTTATCATTGTTCCTCTAAAGGATGTTTGTGTGTTTGTTCATGGAAATGCCTGAATGAATATGAAACTTGGATTGAACTTATATCACCTGTTAGGCTAATTGATATGCTTTTGATTTTGATGTTAGTTATCGAATAAGAGAAGGGTGACATTGTCTGAATTTAGAGGGAAGACTTTGGTTTCGATTAGGGAGTACTACCAAAGAGACGGAAAAGAGCTTCCAACATCTAAAGGTAATGACATTTTTCGCTACATTGTAAATTGCTCTGTTTAAAAATGTTGGTGTGATGTCTGCCAATATGGCACCGTAGGTTCACTAGTTGCCTGCTCATGTGTGTCGTCTTTCAGTATGACAATGTTGGATAATGGTTTAGGCTTGATTATAAATGGTTCGCTAAAAGAATTAGTATTGCGTGGAACTGAAGGTAAAGACATAGCTTCATATCGATGCTGTATGAGTGAGGAGTCTGTCGTAAAAAATTACAAAAAGGTTCAAGGAGTTGGTATTCTGAATTTCTAGGCATCAATTTTTTAGTATCTTTAACTTGTTTTGGAATTAGTTTGGGAATTTCAGTTACTATTTAAGTGGAACTGCTCCCAACAGAGAAGCTAGAAATGTACTACCAGCAACATGTTGTTTTCGATGATATATTTGGTAGTAATAAGGATAATTGGCGTCAACTAAAATCCACAAATATGTTACAATCTGACAGTGCATCTTTTAATTGTTACATGATCATGTTTATAAATGAAGATGAATTCTAATCTTTGGTTTGTCATCAGTCCCTTTTGAAGTTCACTTGTAGTAGTTGTAGTTTCTTTAAACTAATTGTTTGTTCCCCGGATAGGGATAAGCTTGACCCCCGAACAGTGGTCATCCTTCAGTAAGAGCATTCCTGCAATAGAGAAGGCTATCAAGAAAATGGAATCTAGGTGAAAAAAACCAAAGGAGGGTTCTTGACCTTGAAAACAACAAAACATTCGGTAAATGCTTCAAGAACTGTTAGTTTCTTCAGACAGTAGTATATATATTGTAGCCATTCTGCACTGTTTGTTTTATCGATGAAACTATATGTCAAAGTTATTCTGTGCCTCATGCTTTTGTCCCAACTTGAATCCGAATTTCGGCTAATTGGCACAAATATGAATGTAGTGTTTGATGTATATTTACCTGGCTCTTTTGTTGTGTTAGCTGTTAATTAATACATTATGCCAATAGATGAAAAATAATTTACAATTTGACAATAAAAAAAAGAGGGCCTAGCATTTATCTAGATTGTGAGAAACTCTCTCATGTTGAAAGTGACACTGTCTGGACTCTTTCTGATTCAATTTTTGTACATTTTCTAAGTCTTTTTTCTTGACATTTAGCCAACTCTGAAAAAATCAAACTTTATCTTTGTTCCAACATAGTTTATCTTGGTCTCTTTGTAGGATGACATTTCCACTCTCTTGTTTCTTAATTTATCTCACCTAACATTCACTCTTAAATATTTTTTACGGTCGAAATTGCATAGGTTTGATAACTAAGGATAGAGTAGAACTAAGTTGTTGAATATTAATGATTGCCTTATTATTTGACATAAGTTGTTGAATTATTGGTGTGTTATTTTATTCGAAAGTCGAACTTGTATGCACCTAATTGTGTACACATGATCCTGTTAGGCCCCAAGTCTTGGATTAATAATAATCAATGTCGTATTGTTAGGTGCCCTATTGTGTCACTTTGATTGGCTGTCCAAGTTTTGATCATTTTCATAACAAAGATTGTCTAACCTACCACAATTATGTATGATTGGACAAATTAACTTTAGACCATATAATAAAATTCCTTGGAATATATATATATATATATATTTGCACAAGCAAGAGAAAGAAAGAGACAAGGAACCCCTTGTGAGTCCTGAAATGAGAAGGTTGACAAGATCAACCCCTCAATAATCTTTGGTTCGATGTTGACTCATATTAGTGTGTATTTAGATCATACTAATAGACAAAATTCCATGAAATAAAAATTATTATGTTTTTCGACAAAATCATGAATATGTTCACTTAGTGATTTTTAGTGAAATAGCTATTGAATGTAATGATTGGTATGAAAATTTAATATAAGGAAGTGTAAGTTTGCCTTCATGCATACCTCTGTTTGATGAAAGGGGTATTGATGAACAGATCATGAAATTTACTTTGATTATCACTCCAATTG